GAGAGCAGTTATAAATTGTTGTTAACGTAAAACAGATTAATAAACGAGTATGCAGCCGTTGACAACGTGTTGCAAGCGAAACGTGTTTAAACCCCCTTTTTTGCAACAACCATATTTTTGTTACAGGATGTTTTTTTTTTTTTTTTGTTCTCCAATAAAGACTAGGACCTTAAATAAAATTTACCACATAATGGTTTTACAGTTGGACCATTATATTTCAATTTCAAATAAATAATAAAATAAATATTTATTTCTAACAAATGTTTGAACTATGCTCTCTCTCTCTCGAGTAACCCTTTTGTGCAGAGGTTATTGAGATTTTTGAGCGCTTCTCCCCAACACCGCTCATTTATCTGTTTATTATTAATTGAAATTGCAATTATGTTTTAATTAATTTGTATGCATATTAAATAAAATAATTTACATAAACCTACAGATGTGCACAGATGCAATGCATTTTCGCTTGCATCAGCACTCTAATGTGTTGCTGTTGTTGTTGTTGCAGACGTTATTTTTTTTTGTTTCTGGTTTTATGTTTTCCAGTGACCTTTACACGCTGTCGCTGGCATACAAACACGTAAATGTAATTTGCGATAATTGTAATCCATCACCAATGAAATAATTCAATTTTAGGTCGGGGTAAATTGTTTTTAATTAAATACAAAAAAAAGGAATTAATTTTTTTCAATAAATCGAAGCTATCTTTCGAGGTCATCATCAAGTGAGTGACAATTGAAAATGTAATCTGTTGTGAATGTGTTTTTTTTTGTGCTTCTGTTTTATTTTTATAGAGAGGGGGTGGCTTAAGTGTTCGAAGTCAATTGACAATAATGAAAATTCAATAAAAGACCCCGTTTTTGATTTGGAACCTGAAAGCACTCCTCTTTGAGAAACCATACTTAAAAAAAAAAACAGCTTACTTTATGCCATAGAAAGAACTTTTTGAAGTGTATCAACAGAGAAAGTAATTTCATTGAAAATGCCATGACATCGTGGAAGTTTCTTTAAAGGGAATATTTTAGTTTCTAAATCATCTTGAAATACTGAAAAGAGTTTACAAAGCACCCCTTTTTCGTAAACCACGTTCTTAAAATACTCCTTTCTATAGCAAGTGTCCCATTAGGGTCCTATAAATCATATTATTACTATGAAGAGATTTTTAAAAAGCACCATTTCTTTGCGAATAGGTTCCTTTAAAGTCATTTTATTGGAATTTCGTGTCATTGAGAAAGTGTGCTTAAAGATAATCATCCTAACTTTTCCGGAGAGTCCTTTCCTGGGGAAAGAGTTTTGGGGCTTTGAGGATAAGCCCTATAAAGATCTTTACTCTCTTTAAGAAAAGGACGAAAGCAAAGGATATTATCCAAATATCTAATAAACGGTTTTTCTTAAGGACGATGTTCATAAAAACACACAACTTTCACTAACACAGAGTACTCTGAAAGACCCAAAGTACTTTTTCTTAGTAAACGATTCCTCAAACCATTCTTCGCTTCTTCTTTGTCAAAGTGTTTCTAAAACCAACTTTTATTTGGTGAAGTTCTCAAAGTATTCTTTTTTGAATAAGGTGTCATAGGCTAATTTTTCTTCGAGAGAGAATCTCTAAAATCAAATTTTCCTTAAGAAAAAGATACAGTGTACGCAAATATCAAGGAGAGTATCAAAAGTACTTTCTTTGTAAAATAGGGTCTTAGAAAAAAGTCTATTTGAGAAATGATCATTAAGAATACCCCATTGAGAAAAGGTTTTTAGAAGCACCTTCTCTTTAAGTATGGACTGCCAAAAGCACTCTTTCTATTAGGAAATGCTCTTAAAAGCTCATATTTTCGAGAAAGGGTGTCTAAAAACACATCATCATTTTATAACGACATTTTGAGTAACGACCCTTCTAATCGGGACAATAAAAGGAACCTTTAAAATTACCTTTTCTTTGAACAGGGTCATCGCAATAAATCTTTAAATGGTTATATGGTCTTTGAAAAAAAGGTTTTTAGAACGGAGTCTCAAAGATCCATTCTCTTGAGAATGTTCATAAAACCTTCTTCACTTAAAAGCAAATAAAACTTTTTTTAAATAGAGTCGTTTTTGAGGGAGAGTCTTCAAGCCAACTTTTTTGAAAAATTACCATTAAAATAATCTTTTTATTGAAAAATAAACGGAAAAAAGGGTTTTCACAGCTACCTTTCCTTGGGTACATTTATCCTGTCATTAAAGTAGGGAAGCAAAAACCAAAATTTCTTCTGAAAAATATATCTAAAGGACTTTATCTTTAAGAAAGGGTTCTTCAAAGCTGCCTTTGGTTTTGAAACGGACCTAGAATGAAAGTTTTCTTTATTAAGGAGGAATTTTTCAGGAAAGGTTATCCAAAACAGACTTTATTGAGAAATGGTTTTAAAGAGTTTTCTTTCGGAAGTTGTCTTAAAATAAAACTTTATTGTTGAACAAGTAAAAAAGTTGCAAGTTCGGACGGGCCGAACTCAAATCAAAACGTGGACCTGTACAGAAAATTTTCTGTTAAAGGCTGTAGTATCCATTACGAACTTCAAATGCGAAATTTGAAACAATTCCGGTAAATAATAGCGCTAAAATCATCTAAATACCGAATATCGGGGGGTACCGTTATACGGGGGCTATACGAATACGTGGACCCGCACAGACAATTTTCTGTCATAGGCTGCAGTTTTCATTACGAACTTCAAATACTTAATTTAAAATAGTTCCTGTAAATAATCTCTCTAAAATCATCAAAATACCCAATATCGGGATGTATCGTTATAAGGGGGCTATACGAAGACGTGGACCTACATGGCTCATTTTCTGTCTCAGGATGTAGTATCCATTACGAACTTCAAATACCAAATTGGAAACATTGCAGTAAATAATGTCGCTAACTTCATCAAAATACCGAGTACCGTTATATGGGGGCTATACGAAGACGTGGACCTACATGGTCCATTTTCTGTTTTATGCTGTAGTATCTATTACCAACTTCAAATACTAAATTGGAAACAATTCTAGTAAATAATGTCGCTAAAATCATCAAAATAACGAGTATTTGGGGGTACAGTTATGTGGGGGCTATACGAAGACGTGGACCTACATTGTCCATTTTCTCTCTTGAGCCGTAGTATCTATTACGAACTTTGAATACCAATTTTGAAACAATTCCGGTAAATAATGCTCCAAAAATCGTCAAAATACCGCATATCGGGAGGCATCGTTATATGGGGGCTATACGAAGACGTGGACCTACATGGTCCATTTTCAATACCAATAATCCTGCAAAAATAATAAACATTTAAGTAAACAACCTGCTTCACTTCGTTCGGAAGCTCCTTCTCCACAGACGGATAGACGGACGGACATTGCTAAATCGACATAGAATTTTATGCTGATGAAGAATATATATACTTTGTGGGGTCGAAAATGTATATTTCGATGTGTTACAAACGGAATGACAAACTTAATATACCCTCCATACTATGGTGGAGGGTATAAAAAGGGTTCCTTTTTAAAAATGAAAGAAATACATATTGATAAAAAAAGTCCTTAAACGTACCCTGTCTTTGTGAGAAGGTTCTTCCTTTTATTTGAGAACGAATTATAAAAAAGGGTTCACCGAAACACCTGTTTTTAGGAAAGGGTTTATTTACAACTTCTTTTTAACTAAAATCATTCTTTCTTGGATAAAGAGTCTCAAGGAATTCCAGAAGATTCCTTAAGCGCAAAGTAAGCACACAAAATGCTCACTCTCTTTGGGAGAAGCAGTCTTCGGTTAAAAAAATATCCTCTAGTTGGGAATGAGTTCTTCAGACCACTAATTATTTAAAAGAGTCCTTCGAAATGAATTTTTCTCAAAAACATTTTTTTTTTGAGTTATGTGTAATTAGATTCATCCTATCCTTAAAAGGGGATTCTAAAGACAGAAGGATTTCAATAAGTGGTTCTAAATACCAGGAGCCTTCTGAAGTCATCCGAATGCGGAGTGCCTCCCGAAAGCGAAGAACATTCAAGGTATCTTTCATAGACACATATTATTACAAAAGTATTTCTATGAACATATATGCTGAAAGGAGCTTCTATAGTAAGGTTTTAATGAAATAAAAATGGTTAAATGGTTTGATAAGACTAAAATACATTTTAAAGGTTTTATACAAAAAGAAGAAAGGGGAAGTAGAATGTTTTAAGTAGAACTCCTATATACCTTCAAAAAGTCTTCTATGGTCAGAAAATTCTTAACTATTGGCAAAAGAAGACCTGGAGTTCTTCTTCATTTGACTATAAAATACCTGGAGGCGTATGGAGGCATAAAAGTCTTCTTTAGACTGGTAGTTGAACTTGGATGTCTTCTTTTGGCTACATAAGATATAGAAGATCTGTCCATTTTTTTGTTATAGAATACCTTAAGGTCCTCTATCTACAACAAAATACCTGGACTTGGATGTTTTAAAAGACCTGGAAGCCTTTAAATGGTTATAAAAACTCAAATGTTTTTATAGAAGAATAGGAGGTTTATTTTTGGCTAAAAAATAAATGAAGGTTTTCTGTTGGTTATAGAAAACCTAGAGCTATGCTATTGGTATTGAAACCTTTCATTTGCTGTGGTCATAAGAATACCGAGAGGACTTCCGCTGGTTATAGAAGTCATGGAGGTCTTCAATTGAATATAGTCTCCAGTAAAACTTAAAAATTTAACTTCCTTAAATTTATCTTCCCTAACTTAACTTCCTTAAAAATTAAAAAATAAAAACATATTTTCTATTAAAACCACAAACTCTTTGAGAAGTGACCTTTAAAAGCATCTTGTGATAGGTATTTCGTTTCTGACTACGAATGACTTATTTCGAAGTATATCCCAATAATTGAAACTCTAGTTGTATAAAAATATGAATTTGATTTTAAATATTAAAAGAAAAATATTGTAATTTAAAAATTTATATAAATTTGTGTCAGATTTTTATAAAAATAAAATAGTAACCTTACATCTTTGTAATACTTACTTATCCACCACCAATTTTGTGAAGACCAAATCACGTTTATAATAGACCGGATTGCTGTGCTCATGATTCACAGCCTTATCCATCAAAGGGTGTGAGCGAATGAAATTTAAAACGGCATCGGGTAAATTTGCGGTATCATTGACACACGTACCGGGGCGAGGTTCGGGGACACGTGCATTCAACACCGGCAACCAAGCAGAATTTGAATTAGATTGTTCTTTGAATTTACCTAGAATATAGAATAGAAAAAGAAGAAAACAAAAACCGTAAGAAAATGGAAAAAAAACAACAATAATGACAAAATACGAAGTAAACACAAATGCTGCAAAACAATTGTTTTTTTCACCAAAATTTTACAATTCGGTAATCCCAGAACAATTGTAGTGTTATTGCTAAAAATTTCCTTTTAGCCGGAGTTTTCTGAAATTCTGTTTGGGGTTGCCATGTCAGAAATCCCCCGTGGAACATTTTGAGTAAAGTATGAAATACAAAAAACCTCACTCAACAATACCAAGAAATTATACACTGCAAAAGAAATAGACTTTGTTAACATTTCACTACCACCTTACCGAGTCATAGAAAATTGTGAGCAACTCAAGTGTTGAGGGAGGGGGGGGGGGGGGGGGGTTGAGTTTGGTCCATTGTATCAATTACCTTAAACCGCAACCAAGACACTTAAAGCAATCATCCAAACAAATCTATTGTAGCTGCTGTATTAAGAGTCGAATGTTCTCTTTCTCTCTCTCTCTCTCTCTCTCTCTCTCTCTCTCTGCCTTGTCATGACACACAAGCGGATTAAAGCCACCACGGCAACATCACAAAACACTTAATTCAATGTTGGCAAGATGTTTAGCAAATCTTGTCGATTGTGTTTTAAAATGGCAACAACAAGAACAACGAATAGCATTTTATTCAACCTCGAAGTAGAATGGTTGTATTTAAAACCGAAATCTAAATTTTATAAACACTTAACAAGTTAAAGAGTATCAGTTGGTTTTGCCGACAGATGTATGGGCTAATATTGCCCATTTCCTATCGGTCCTAAATAATTATGATATAAATATTGCGACCAGCCAGTTTTGGGCTACATTGGTTACTTTCTTTACTTTGTATAATATATGTGATATTTTTTAGAAAATGTTGAAATGTTTGTGAGATATCAGATATAGTTGACAGAAGTACTCCATTTCCATACTTCATTTAATACAGATGAAATTAAAGGTATGGACAAAATAACAAATTAATCGAATATTTATTTCGAATTCTATGCGAAATCATAAATTCCATTTTCGTCTCAGGTTTCAAGTTAAGAGAAATATTTTGTTGTAAAGAATCGCTGAATTGTTTCGCAAGTTATGAAAATTGTAACCCTTTGTGGTTGAGATAGCAGAAGGGGTTCCCAGATATACATCATCTTCACAATAGATCTTGTGTTAGCAAAAATGTTTTTTTTTTGTGTGAAATTTGAAAAGAGTTGATGCTGATGTCGCTTTATTTGAGCCTTTTGTTTTACAAATCTTGAACCCTATGTGCAGGAGGTAATAAAAGGAATGGTCCGATTTCTATCAGTTTTATAACAGACCTTGCGTTGATGGAAATATTGTGATGTACCAAGTCTGAATGGATCTGATGTTAATATCGCGTTTCATCATGAAGCTGATATAACGCGATATTAACATTCGATTTAATTCAAAATTTTGAACCTTTGTGAGACCGATATAATATATCTTCACAGCAGATCTTGTGTTAGTAGAAGTAATGGGATGTTGTGAAATATGAAGAGAACCGGATGCTTATTTCGGATTTTATAATCGTTTCAGTTATTCAAAACTTTGACCCTTTGTGGGGGAGTTTCCAAGAGGAATGGTCCGATCTCCACCATCTCTATAACAGGTCTTGTGTTGATGGAAATATTAAGATGTGCCAAGTCTGAATGGAATCGGTTGGTAATTTCGCGTTTTATGAGTTTCATGGATATCCAAAATGTTTACGTTTTGTGGGGGGAGGTATCAGAAGTAGTTGGCCGATATATTCTTTACAGCAGATCTTGTGTTAGTAGAAATAATGAAATGTATGTAATATGAAGAGAACCGGATGATTTTATAATCGTTTTGGATCTTCTAAACTATGACGCTATGTGGCGGAGGTTCCAGAAGGAATGGTTCAATCTCTACCATATTTATAGCAGATCGTGTGTTGATGTAAGTATTGAAATGTGCCAAACCTGAATGGAATCGGTTGGTAATTTCGCGTTTTATGAGTTTCATGGATACTCAAAATTTTGACCCTTTGTGGGGGAGGTACCAGAAGAAGTATGCCGATATATTCCAATTCTGACCCTATGTGGGGGAGATTCCAGAAAGAATGGTCCAATCTCTATCATATTTATAGCAGATCGTGTGTTGATGTAAGTATTGAAATGTGCCAAACCTGAATGGAATCGGTTGGTAATTTCGCGTTTTATGAGTTTCATGGATACTCAAAATTTTGACCCTTTGTGGGGGAGGTACCAGAAGAAGTATGCCGATATATTCCATCTTCACAGCAGATCAAGTGTTAGTAGAAAAAATGAAATGTGTGTAATATGAAGAGAACCGAATGATTATTTCGGATTTTAAAATCGTTTTGGTTCTTCAAAAGTTTGACCATATGTGGGGGAGGTTCCAGAAGGAGTGGTCCGATCTCTACCATATTTATAGCAGATCTTGCGTTGATGTAAGCATTGAAATGTGCCAAGTCTCAATGGAATCGGATGTTAATATTTTGTCCCTTTGTGGGGGAGGAACCAGAAGGAGTGAACCGGATATATACGATATTCACACCAAACCATAGGTAAATAAAAATATTGTGATGTTTGAAATTGGAAGACAATCTGACTCTTACATCACATTTTAGAAGAGTTGTAACTATTTAGGATTTTGGCCCTTTGTGGGGGTGCTACGTGATGGAGTGAACCGATATTGCCTATTTTCGCAACTGACCTATCACTGATGCAAACATTAGCATTTGCAAAGTTTGAGCAAAATTGTATTATCGTTCCTCCTTCTGTCCAGACAATAAATTTTTTGAAAATTTCGATTTTTGTGGGGGAGGTACCAGAAGGAGTAGGCCGATATTGTCCATCTCCGAACACGATCTAAGTTTTATAATAATATTACGATGTACCATGTTTAGGCCAAATCGGATACTGCCTTCGACAGTTATCGTGCGCCGTAGTCAGCAGACAGACAGACAGAGGGACGGACATTGTAGCCCCGACATACAAGGCAATACAAAAAAGACAGACGAATTTAGCAACTTCTTTTATATGTCACGATATTATCCGATTTTTATTCCAACCACACTTACATTTTATTTATCACATACATAATCAATAAAACCAAAAAAAAAAAAAAAATACAAAACTTACCATCGAACGCTGCTTTCACCTCGTTGATGTGGAAACTGCACACCGCCGAACCGATTAGACCATTTGTACTTGTGGTAAATGTTGCATAGAAACGTGTCTTATCATTTGGCAGCTGATACACCGATTGAATCTCATTGAAATAGAAGGGGAATTCACCGGAAATACTGCAATTCAAGCGAGCCTTTAAGTAGGTAGCCCAATTGTGGGCCAGAATACTCTTGCCACCCACATCCTTTTTGCAGACACGGGCAATGCGCGAATACACAGCCTTGCCGCAATTGATGTACTCGACAGCGGTTTCGCGGAAAAAGAAATACACATAATCGTCAATGTCATAGGAGCCAACAAAGTTGGGTTCTAAAAAAAAAAATAGAAGATATTAGAAAGAAAATTGAGTTCCATTGAAAATGATAATAAGATTTATTATGTGTCATATTTAATGTTATTAATTTTCTTAACCAAAGAGTTTAATCGGATTTGCTTATGGTTTCCCCTATTTGATTATGGTAAGTGGAGATTATGAAAGACTCTTGGTAAAGAATTTTTTTGTAATAAAAATAATCGTTTTTAATTATTTTTGCATAAAAAGTGTGCTATTGAAGGGTTTTGTTGCGGATATTGAAAAGAGTTTGTGTGTGCAAGTTTTAACATCTATTCAAAACACATCCTTCCTTTGGCAAAATATGAACTTTTTGGAAAATATGTTCTTTTACGATATTCATTGTGGATGGCATAGAAAACAGATTTAATTTACGGAACTGTGGTTAGTAATATTAGTTTAGTAGTATAAGGCCAAATAAAAAATATTAAAAGAAAGTGTGACATGTAATATGAAAACAGTGAAAACTCTTCATATTTATTTGGTAGAAGGAAAGAGATAAATGATTTCCTCATTATTCTTTAATTTATTTTGCTTCATTCCTTAATATTTTCCAATGAATTCTAACAAAATTCCCAAGGTAATTCCAAAGTTTGTCTAATTTTTTACTGTATACTGAAAATTCAGTTGACTAAGATTGAGGATGATGCTCGAGAAGACAAATAGTCTCAATATTGTGTCATAGAGATAATAATGCGTATTTAACCCCCTTAATGGTTCGGTCCAACCTCAAAGGATTTTGATATTAACTCAAAGAGAAAATGTCACAAAGTGTTAAAAATACAGAAATTCTTAGAATAAGGAACAATAATAGAGTTTGAGCGCCCAGAATTCAAAATTAAATCAAAGTCCAAAAGAAGAAGAAGAAGAAGTTCAGGAAGAAGAAATGTATATACCTTCAGCGCTCTACTCGTTTATTTATCTTCATCCTTTTGGATTGGACCCATATATCATATTTGTATAATTTTGGATTTTGTGAGAGTTTGAGAGAGTTACCACCAAGATAGTCTCAGACAATCATACGATTACAATTTTTAATTAATGACCCTTCATTCTCAAATGTTTATTTTGTAGTTCTTCCTCAAGCATGGGCGTACAGATGATAAGAAATTTAGAGGATATTAAAGCCAAAAAAGAATATAATCGAAAACAGAGCTGAAAATATTATCCAAATAAATTATATAAGACTTGATTATGGAATGACTGAATTCTGATTCAGCTAGGACAAATATTAAATTCATTATAAGAGCAGATGGCAAGATTTTGGCAAGACTTTTCAGTTGATACTTCGTTGCTTTTGACCTTAAAGACAGACTTAAAATAAAACGTCATTCGAGGGTTACACAAGAACAAACTTTATCAAAACCCTTTGCATAAGATGAAATTAAATTCTCTATCTTGATATGTTTTGTTTGGATATGCTTCGTCCCATTCTGGGTTGCAGAAGTATTGGACCGACACATCATATCTTCATTTGAGATCTAATTTTTATACCCTCCACCATACTATGGAGGGTATATTAACTTTGTCATTCCGTTTGTAACTCATCGAAATAATGATCTTAGACCCAACAAAGTATATATATATTCTTGATCAACGTAAAATTTTAACTCTGTTCGTCTGTTGTAATCACGCTATATTTCGAACGAATTGAGATAGAAGGCTAAAATTTTGCACAAATGTTTATTTTGCCTGTAGCCAGGTTAAGTTCGTAAATGGGCCATGTAGGTCCACGTTTTCATATAGCTAACAAATAACGATACCTCCCGATATTCGGTATTTCTGTGATTTTTGCGACATTATTCACCGCAATTGTTTCAAAATTGGGATTTTAAGTTCCTAATAGGAACTACAGCCTATGGCAGAAAATTGTCTGTGCAGATCCACGTCTTCGTATAGTCCCCATATAACGGTAACTCCCAATATTCGGTATTTTGATGAGTTTAGCGTCATTATTCACCGGAATTGTTTCAAATTTGGTATTTGAAGTTCGAAATGGATACTTCAGCCTAAGATAGAAAATTATCGGAGCAGGTCCACGTCTTCGTATAACCCCCATATAACGGTACCTCCCTATATTCGGTATTTTGATAATTTTAGCAACATTATTCACCGGAATTGTTTCATATTTGGTATTTGAAGTTTGTAATGGGAACTACAGTCTGTGACAGAAAATTGTCTTTGCAGTTCCAGGTCTTCGTATAGGCCCCACCGCAATTGTTTGAGATGTCGTATTTGAAGTTCGTAATGGATGCTACAGCCTATGACTGAAAATTGTCTATGCTGGTCCAGGTCTTCGCAAATCTCCGATATAACGGTACCTCCCTATATACGATATTTTGAGGATTTCAGCTACATCATTCACCGTTTATTTCAAGTTTCGAAATTCAGTATGTTAATGGCTTATGACAAACAATGCCTACGTAGATCCACGTCGTATAGACCCCAATATAACGGCTATATTCGGTATTTTAAAAATTTTAACAGAATTTATTAAGGATTTTAGTTTTTGAAAACTTTCAAAATCGTTCCGCATTGTGGAGGGTATTCAAAGTTCGGCGCGGCCGTACTAACTTGCTACTAATTTGTTCTTATAGGAATAGGTAACATATATATCCTATACACCCCTCTGCTGAATTTTGTAGAGATCGATTAAGATTTCAGGTTTTTGGCATATTCGATCGAATTTAGCCTGAAAGCAAATACCTCAAATATGGTAATGATCGATTCAAATATTGCTATTGCTCAGAAAAAATACGCTTCGACCAATTTTTATACCCTACAACACTATGTGTTGGGAGTATTATAAGTTTGATTGGCCCAGAATTTATGTAACACCTCGAAATATTGGTTTCCCATATAGGAAAGTATATATGGATCTTCCTAGCTCGCCGATCTGAGTCGATCCAGCTATGTATGTCTGTCCGTCCGTCTGTCCGTCTGTCCATATTAATTTGTAATCACTCTACAGGTCGCAATTATGGTCCGATCTTCACGAAATTTAAAATGTAGGTGGGGTTAGGGTCAGAATAGAAGCCTATTTCTCCTATTTGGAGATGATCGCCAAATGTTTAGGGGTTGAAATGGACCAAATACTGAAAAAATGTCGGATTTTGCAGTAGCTATACAGGTCGCAATTATAGACCAATCGACGCGGAATTTCGCATGTAGCTAGAGTTTAGGGCGAGGAAGAAACCTACCAATTTGGATGGTCATCGGATAATATTTAGCGGGTAAAATAGACCATATCTTTTGTGTTGAAAAAAATCAAAATTTTTCATTAAACCGCGAATATTTTAAATCCCGGCGAAATCACAAAGCCATGGCAAGGTTACTTCTGACCTTTACATTGATGTTAACATCCAACAAATCGGATATATAGCAAAATATGTGCGATATATATGTCTATCAAAGAAGATATGCTTGAAAGATCTCTTATATGTCGAGAACGACTGAACTGATTTCGACAGTTCTCATTAATTCAGAATGGCCTCTCGGCAGGAAACAAAAAACGTCTAAAAAATCGCATAAAAATATCTCTCTAAAGATGAAAATATTGATTTTGTAACATTTTCTCATATTTTTTTTTTCAATTTTGTCATATTTTTGGCATATTTTCATTTTGAATCAAACATTTGGTAATATTTCTACAGCTAACAAAACTAAGTAGTTAGGATATCAGGATATCATATACAGATCGCATTTATGGCCCGATCCGTTCGAAATTTTGCATGGGTATAAGATGAGGGTCAGAATAGAAGCCTACTCTTTTTGGAGATGATCGCAATATATTTAGGAGTTGAAACGGACCAAAAAACTGCAAAATTGTCAGCAGGTCGTAATTATCGCCCGACCCTCACGCACATTTGAACGTGGGTTACCGGACATTGCAAAAGCCAAGCAGTTTTGGATGGCCATCCAAAAATATTCAATGTGCGAAATAGTTTGCCAACTTTTGTAGACAAAATACGAAAATGTCCATTCCAGTGACTCTTTGGAGAATTCAGGAAAGACCCACTTCTGACTATTTCGTTAACGCTGACTTCGTGGAAGAATGTAGTCAAATGTCCGTATCTCATATAGATGCGTTTCAGGAAGACCATTTACGTGCAAAATCTACCAATAAATTGGAAATGAGCAAATTAGTTAAAGTTGCTATTATTCGAAAATTAGAGAACGAAACCTGATGGTTTTCTTTTATTATTTGTCACAATATCTTGTGGAATTCTTTCGAGTATCTCTCCTATATAAACTGTATCGTTTATTATAGTGTTGTAGGGTATTCAACGGTCGGCCCCGCTCGACTGTAGCCTTCTTCAAAAGCACCAACCGAGGCACATTTAGGCTTAATTATTTTTAATAAGGCAGATGGTGAATAATGTCGTATACATACATATCGAAAAAGTTGGAAAAATTGTAAATCAACGTTGTTGGTCCAGTTCCTCTGAGGCCTCATGACAAGTGGGTCAAATTTTTGGAAAATGACATAAAGGTGAACATTCTGAAGATCTTAGGTAAAATATGGGATATACTGGTTTGCTCCTTCTGGTACCGTATGCAGAAACAGCAAGTCTTTGTCTAACCAAATACTAAGATTTCTTTTAAGCAATTTATGGACACAATAATTGGATTTTTAAAGGACTCTTTGACAATTGTCTGTCAATGATTAAGAATTGTGAACTTTTTATAGCCAACAACACTATGATTTGGGGAATCGGAATTTGCATGGGGCTTGAGTTTAGGTCTGGCCAGAAGCCTACCAATTTGGATAGTCTTCGTTGCGGTGTAAGTTCTTGCACTTTCTGAAATTTCAATGGCTTTTTCCCGAGTTCATTTTTTAATATTTGCCGAATGGACATGTATGATATGTCCAGCTCACAACCCATTTTTCGGCCATTGCGACGCGGCTTTCGATCAAGTCGCTTCTTTACTTTTCGAACTATTTCTGCTGATGTTGCTGCTTTCTTCCGTCCACTTCCTTAACGTAGGGCTACGCTGAGACAAAAGATTTATTCACATTTAAATGCTAGAGTCCTCTAACGATAGCCACGTGTGGTTTTCCCGCCAAAATCAAGAAATCATACTATCAATATTGAATTCCATCACGAATAACTTTTCTTGCTTTTGCTTATGCTTTTATACGCTTGTAAACAATATAATGAGCTGTGACTGGAATAATTTTAACAGCTGTCGGACGTGTGTCTTAGATGTGACAGCAGTCTGAAGTTGATTGCAGTTTTTTTAACTCGCCCTATATATATGGGAGCTGTAGTTATATCTGAACCCAGTTTCACCAAATTTGATATACTTGCTTCTAGACTAAATTTGGTCGGATGGTCATTTAGACGGATATTGGCCATTTGGAGTAAAATTAACCCGAAATCGGTTGAAGATTTGTGGGAGCTATATCTAAACCTGATCCGATTATCACCGATTTCAAGAGAGTTCCCCCTTGGGCCAAAGAAATATTGTTTGGAAAATATTATTTCAATCGGATAATAAATGCGACCTGCATTTTATTCACAAGAATACATGGACAGATGGACGGACGGACTGGCATGCGTAAATCGACCTATGCAGGTCTTCCTTCTCCATGTTACAAACAAATGCACACATATCTAATACCCTTACCACTATGTGGTGTAGGGTATAAATATATCTATCCGTTTATATGTTACAGAATTTTGAAAAGGGAAACGATTGTGATTCACTGTTAGCTGCCAGACTATGGGCCTTGCTCAGGTTTTAATATCGTGTTCATTTCAAAAAATCCTTCAATAAGTTACTTTTTCGAATACTATGACCTCTAATTTTTATTTAGCTGTGTTTTATCCCCACAAACCACTGTTTTGGCCCTCCGTAAAAATTCACTTCCAAACCAAATGCAATTACCAACGTTGGTGGTGTTGTTCATCGCATTAACGGGTGGATAATAAATTTCATTAGTTTGTTTTTGTTGTTGTTATCGCTGTTTCCATGATGTCCTTGTTGTCGCGAATGTTGTGTTACTTCATTTCCCCATTTGCTGGCGTTTATCATCCCGCCGTCATCAATGTGTTTTGTGCGAAAAACTAATTATTTACCCAAAGCAGATTATGCCAGGAAATATAACAAAAATAGCATAAAATTAATTTTATTCTACATAAAGTAAATCCAATAATAATATGCCAGCATAAATTTTATAAAGTTGAGAGTCCGCATCATTAAACTAATGGCGTTCTATATTTAGGCAAAAAATGGGAGTAAATACCAGCAGAGTTGGTGTTTTCAATATTCTCGACCACCATTTACCAGAATAGGGATAAACAAGTTTTTTTTTCGTAATAGAAAAAAAAAATATAAGAGATACACTTAATAAATTTGTTATTTTTTATAAGGTTTATAAATCATAGAGCAGAAGGCATAACTGCCTGCTACACAACAAGACAGAGCCTCAAAGAGCTCAGTTGTTGCTATTGCTTTTCTTGTTGTAATAAGTAGCTACACGACATTGTATTGCCATCCATATACTTACTGTCCAACCATTTGGAATCGTATTTCAGTGTACGTTTGAATTTGTATTCCAAACGTTTTGCCGTGGTGTTATACAAATCCGTACGAAATATGACAGCATCCGCTTTAGTGAATTCAGCATTTGTACCGGAATACTGAAAAAAAGAAAGAGAAGCATACTCAAAATGAATGTAAAACAAGTAAATTGAAGACAAGACAGTTAGAAGAGGAAGAGTTGAGAATGGCCACCACCAAAAGAAAAAAAAAAAAAAAAAAAACAAATAGAGCGAAGTAAGCAACATGTTGACATTAACATAAATAAATAAATGGAATCAAAAAAGTGAAGTCTCAAGAAACGCGATAAATTCTCATTGTACAATAATATTCAATGAGGAGGCACAACGAGGAGTGGACTGATATTGTCGATTTTCATACCAGAGTATGGGCAATATCGCTCCACTCCTTCTAGGAGGTCCCAACTAAGAGGCAAAACTTAACAAAATTATCAATAAATCTCGTGTTTAACAAAACAATCGCACGACAAAATGTAATACAGGAAAAAGTTCAACAAATCATAAAAGTAGAGCTAACAAGTAAGCAAAGGCTATAGTCGTACGGGGCCGACCATGTGATACTCTACAACATTACAATATGTCAGAAGTCCCTTTATGTCCAAATCCATTTAGGAAGATTTCGCTTTTGAAATTATGTCACTGAGCACTGACCACATATTACCCTTAGCATTTTGAACAGGGTTATTTTCCCAATATTTACACACTCCGTCGTGCTGTTCGTTGTTGTGGTCCATTTTATAGCTAAATATAATCCAGTGGTCATCCAAAATGCTACAATTCTTCCCTGTCCATAAAAAAATGACACAAAATACTACAAAATCTATATTAACATCACTGTTGGCCTCCTTTTAGGCGTTTTTTTTAGTTTTTATTCTTTTATTCCAATTGACAAAATTTGTCAAAATCGGTCCAGCCATTCTTGAGATAAAAGCATTCTAGTTAACATCAAGATATATACTATCGGCATCTATGTAACGGTCAGGATTGACATGTTCGTCTCTTTGTAATTTCTCCGGGATTAAAAAATATTCGCGGTTTAATGGAAATTTTGACTTTTATTTAATACAAATGTTATGGTCTATTTCACCCACTGAATATTACCTGATGACCACCAAAATTGGAAGACTTTTGCCCAGCTCAAAGCTCTAGCCCCATGCTACATTCGGCGTCGATTGGTCTATAATTGAGACCTGTAGAGCAACTGAAATATCAGAAATTTTTTCAGTTTTTGGTCCATTTCAACCCAAAAATAGTATGTGATCATCTCCAAAAGCAATAGGGTTCTATTCTGGCTCTAGCCGCATCTCCATTCAAAATTTCGTGAAGATCGGACCATGCGACCTAAAGAGTGATTACAAATTAACATGGACAGACGGACGGACGGACATACATAGCTAGATCGACTTAGCTCGGAGAGATAGGAAGATCCATATATACTTTCCTATGTGGGAAACCAATATATCGAAGTGCTACATAATTTTTAGCCCAATGAAACTTATAATACCTCCAACACATAGTGTTGTATGGTATAAAAATTTATGATATCTTTTCAAGTTACATACTGAATATAAAAAATTTCCTTTGTTCAGAGACTCACAATGTAATATGATCTAGAATTATTCATCCTTTTATACGATTCCCCAAATATGATGTATAACGGAAGATTTCGACCTAGATTCGACACTACATAATCTTCAATTTTAGTACATAACATTTGAATGTAGTTTTCCAAAAAAATCGAATGTACCAAAATAAACAGTTAATCTGAGAATAACAATGAAATTTTGAGTAGAATATTTCTTATTTTGTTATTTTATTTGATGTACTCGTTTCTAAACTGAATTCGGTCGGATTACCAAAATTCAGGACTTTTGTACTGATATTGGCCATTTGGTGCATAATTAACCCGAAATCGGTTAAAGGTATATATGGGACCTATATCCAAATCTGAAGCGATCTTGATCAAATATAGCAGAGGTAGGTATTTCTGGGCTGTATCTTATATCTGGTATCAAATGTCATTGTTGCTAAATGCATATTACGAATATAAGGTATTTAAAAATCAAATCGGATGAAACATATATATGGGAGCTATAGCTATATCTGAACCGATTTTCACCAACTTTTATGTACTTGCTTCTAGACTGAATTCGGTAGGATGTACCAAAATTCATTTGGCCATTTGGTGCACAATTAAGACGAAATCGGTTGAAGATATATGACAGCTATATCTAAATCTGATCCCATTATCACCGAATTCAATAGGGTTCGTCCTTGGGCCAAAAAAATATTGTTTGAAAAATTCCATATCAATCGGATAATTTGTTCATAAGAATGCATGGACGGACAGAACTTCCTTTTGACCTTCCTTACAAGTTTTGATATCCAATGGAAGCATAGATTTTATTTCCTTGATAACTTATAGTGAAATTTTATGAGGAATATTTTTGTTTTTGATGTCATCATTCTTAAATTATGCTCTATTGGAGACTTTTGCACAAACTCACAAAGTTCGGCTTTAACCCTAAAATATGTTTTTTAATAATTATGAATTCCTGACGTTAAGGCTACATCCAGAATTTTAAGGTATTCTGAAACCCTTGGTAGAATTGTGTAGCAAATAACTTTGTAGAATTTTTTGACTTTCTACGATCCCGTTTGAAGGGTGACTAAAAAAAAACACATTTTTTGATTCGCTTGATGATTAATTATATATATTTTCTATAACTATATTTTCAAAAATAACCAAAAAGGACCCTTTGGTGATTCACAATTTCCTTCCAAAACTTGCTTATGTTTTTATCCGTAATATTGCCGAGACGTTAAATATTTTAAATGAAGGGTTTCCAAGGAATTTTATTCCGAAAATATCAAAAAATGTGGCACACGTGTATCAGCGTCTTTTACTCTAATTATTTACCATTTTCGTAATCTGCTGGATTTGCTCTGTATTTTTTTTTTTTTTTTGTGTTACACAGTGTAATAATCGCAAAGAGAATAATCACACAGAGCATTAGACATAGCATATATTGACAGTGTCAAAAAATGCATTCCCTTTTCAGTCGTAAGACTTCACCCTTCCGCGTTCACGAGGTCTATCTGTTTGTTTCCCAATACCCCTCCCTATCCCCAACTAGGCAATGTAAAACATTCAAATAAATCTCAGGCTTATTTGGCTACTCGCATTATAGCGAACGAACGAATGAACGACAGCTTACATTTTCAATATGAAATATGCATAAATAGGTCTATGGCGCCAAAAACCTCTTTTACATGGCCGCATAAAAAAAGAAAGATGAAACCAAAGGAAAACCATAAGAAGTCATCTTAACGGTTTTGGTTGCTTACTCAAAAGATGGCTAGAAAACCAATAAGAAATCTGCCACAGCTTGAACCCCACAAATATTACTTAGAGTAGATTTTTAGCCAAATGGAAAATAAATAAATAAATCACAAATATACAAATGATAAAGCTAAAGATGATGATGACGACGACGACGAGGTTTCCATGATTAAAAGGTCCTTGGAAGAGTAGAAAAAAAAGAAACTTAAGATTTTAAGTGGCATCTTCATAAATATTAACATTCCGACAAATGACAGTAAACTGTTGCTTATGACATTTTAATCGAAATTTATATTTTAGTCGTCTCTTGTTTATAAATAAATATTTTGCATTTTTTTATTACTTACCAAGCCAGGCAAACCACCAGGATTTCCTTCTTCAACATAAATTGCTGTCGAGTTGTCCAAGGGGTCATAGGGACACTTGGCAATGCCCAAACCAATGCCCATGACAAATTCAGATCGTGATAAGTGTGTTAGATTTGTCTGAAAGAAAGAGAAGAATGTGTTGGTTTAGTTGTTTTTTAAATTGAGTTTTATATTAGGAAAGTGATTTATAAAAAAACCAAATTCGACGGATCCTCCGAGAGGTATCCAAACACAATTTTGATTTGTTTTAAATTAGTATTTGAATAGCTTTTATTTATTGTAGTACATAAATTGTGTTCAAAAAACCATATATATATTTATAAAATAGATAGAGGTTATTTATTAACAGGGGAATATGGTAAATCCGCCTAAGTTCGGCGTGTCCCAGTAGTCGGCAGTTTTGAAATTTAAACTTAAATAACTAAGAATACAATAACCAAATAATGAAATAAATGCAAAACACGTCAACAGTGTTCTCTGCTCCCTTTCTGTAAAAAACAATGAGCCCCTATCATTTATTACGAGAGAAAAGCGGTTTTCGCCAGTGAGTCTCTTCCAACGCGTGCGATAGTGTTTGCTTGTAAAGAAAAAATGAGTGGTGGCGTCAACTTAATAATCGAGTAAATTAAATTTAATTCTTTTGAAATCAGGAATATTTTATAATAGTAAATAACAGTCTAAAGACGTTTTATAACTTAAAAACATACAAATGAAGCTTTTTTCTGTTATATTATTTAATGCCGACATTAGGAACAGAAAAAAAGAGATTTACCGGTAGTCGGCAGGGTGTGCCGATTACTGGAAAAATATCATTTTTGACCAATTTCACCAAAACTTGAAAAAAGTATTAAAAAATAATCCAAAAACTACTCAAATAAAAAATAGTTTTGAGTTGGCAGTTGCTTTCATTTAAGCTTTCTGACGAACTTTTCTAAATTTAGTAGGTTTTTTAAATCAGCGACCATCGGCTGTTATGGCGGCCCACACCATCACCATGGCCGGCGCTTGAGCCAGCCAAAGGAACACATTTTCATCTGACCTCTTTGGCAAATAAACTCAATCATTTTGTTTGTTAATAATCTGCTGGACAACGAACGTTTTTTCATTGGAGAAAACCAAATTCGACAGTTCACCACTTTCGGCCAAGCGAAAAAACTCTTTTGCTCTATCCTGCACTCCATCAGTGACTCTCATTTCAAATTTTAGAATTCTAACTCATTATGTTTGTCCAATACAAAGCATACAATTTTAGTACATTTTAGTACCTCGTACTAAAAATTCGTAAATTAAAGTACGAATTTCCAACAACCCAGCCATATCACATATCCATAACACACGCATGCGCACCAAGACTGGCCCTCGGGCAAGATCTCAAGATTCTAGATACATAATTTTTTACACCATAAAGACTGAATTTGGTATGAGGTAACATTTCTATCAGAATTAGGTAAGGAGGCAAAATAGAAAGTATTGGCTATCAATTCCTCGTACCTAGTATATTATAAAAAAATACCATGTATATAACCTCAATATTCCCTCCCAAAAAATATACATCTGTGAATTTTCTAAATAGGTGACAATCTGGATACATTTTTGAAATAATATTGTTAAGATATTTCCATCCCCAGTGGTTTTCAAAAAATATCAAAAATAACCCACATTTATAACCCAAGTATTCCTTTTAGAGAGAAGTTTGTACGCCCGTGTTCCTGCAGAAATATTCTAAAAAAATACATGTTCATAACCCAATTGATCCTTAAAAATTTTTTTGTCAATAATTCAATGGTTCTTCGCAATATGTTCTTAAAAAAATCTACCATGACAGCCCAATAAAAATACAAAAAAAATTGATAACCTATCTAAACGTTTCCTGAAAAATTCGACTTTTTTAAATACTTCTTAAAATAACGTTTTTATAACCTTAATAGCCCTTCAGAAAATATTCCTCAAAAAACCTCGTTTACGGCAACAATGGTCCTTCGAATATATTTTAAAAAAATTCAATTTTATAAAACCTATAGACCTTTAGAAAATATTCTATTTTGTCTGGAGAATTTTGGAAAGCAAGGTTAACACTAAAAAATGTCAAAGTGTCGATCACCTCAAGCAAGCACCTCGCCGGGAAGGGGCCAAAATACAGCAGAGCAATATTGAGGCAGCGTGTATCGGTTTCATTGCCAAAGGTGACCAATTCGAACAAATCTAAACTTATTCTAAAATTTGATGCTATTTCCTACAGTTTTTGCTTTCATTCAATAAATTAAAAAAAAAAGATAAAAATTATGGCGTTTGACTTAGTTGCAGGAATTTTTATTATTTTTAATATGCTTTAAATCCTAAATTTTTATTTTTTAAAGCCCTCTAGAAAATAAATTCAAATGTATGTTCCCTTCTCAAAACGCAAAAGTCTTATTTAAAATCCATGCAAGTTAAAAACGGAAATCTCTAATAATATCGTCATAATTGAAATATACTATTATTTGAGAGCGCAGTAGGGGGATGCCTCCCCACCGCATACACGCACACACATTTACAATCTTTATACTACGAATTCCCCTTTTTGTAAATTACAAATTGATCTCTTATTTGATTTCAGATAAAGATACTAGAAATATGTTTTATAAACCAATTTCGCATTTACATGTCAATTTGCAACTGCCAAAAGAACTTTTGGTATTTCTCGCTAGAAAAAGAAAGCAAAGAATAGAAAAAACGAAAGGAAAATTCGCATATGGATTTCGCCCCTCTAATCTTCAACACCAGTGCTATTCGAAAATTGTTTGGATGAGAAACAAATCCCATCTTTTATTGGTTTTATCACCCTCAAAATATTGTTTTCAACACAAGGCACACACATCCATATATGAGATTTCATATGAGGGAGGCACAGTGTGGGGTAAATGAATAGGAACAGGTATTCATATTAATACAAGACATTCAATCTGGGTTATATCAATGTTTTATCGAAAACAAGTGGGCAGTTTTCAGGATTCCTACTCGCAACAAATGACAAATTATATTTCACAATTTGGTACGAAAATTTACCTTTTCCCACAAAAATCTAAAATTAAGAATACTAATGTCCCTCACGAAAATCTAAATCAGCTCTGAGTTTCTTTCTTTTGCTACGTAAAACCGAAAATTTTTGTCAAAACCTAGATTTTTTGTGAAAGGAGCAGCCAATATTCACTGGGTCAATAACTATGACTATGCCTTTATGGTGTCTCCCACACGAGAGTAACAATTTTTAGAACACAGGAAATCATGGGTCCATTTCTTCCATAAATAGTTTTCAATTTTTTTTTCTAAAATTTTTGAGATTGTTATTCCGAAGACATTTTTACAGAATTCTTAGCTTTTTTTTCTAAAGATTTTTTTTGATCATTTGCAGGACACACATCCTGGATTATTTTTTTTTAATTTTCAAGGACTTAATTTTCAAAATGTTAGCAGATTTTCCAGGTTCAGGGGGACATCCTGAATTATATACCTAGGATCGTGTCCCTTATTATTAAATTATATAGAGATTTTTTAGACAAGGATTTAAAAACTTTTAAAAGGACCTCAGGACAAATATGCTGTTTCTTTCAACAACATTGTTAATGGTCTTCAGGAAAAGGAGTATGGATGTTTCATATTTGGAGAATTTCTTCTTCAAGGACTTTTTCACAATTTTTTTTTAATTTTCAAAGGATTTCTTGGCCGTAGTAAATCTCTTTTCTTTTCATGATTTTTTTAGGATTTCTTGTAGAAAAAAAGAATATTCAAGACATATATATATTTATTACCATGATTTCTAGTACAATTGTCTGAAGATTTTGTTTCAAAAAATTCTTGACAAAAAATTTTGTTTTTTTTTTTCAATTTTTTTTATGAACTTCACAGTCCATTTAAAAAAACAAATTATAAAATATCCCATACCAGTCTAAATAACCTGAATTCTGGCACATCCGACCGAACTCAGTCAGAAGTAAGTAAAAATCGGAAGTTTGGTGAAAATCGGTTCAGATAAAGCTATAGCTCCAATTAATACTTTTCATCCGATTTGGGGGTTTAAGCCTTTCACATGTGAAATATGTAATCCACGACAATGATCTTTGGTTCCAAACTCAAGAAAACCTCTGCCAAATTTTATCCATATTGGATCAGATGAGGACATAGCTCACATATATCAGGTTGAGATGAAAACACTGCAACCAACTTCAGACTGCAGTCAATTCTAAGCCACTCGTCCGACAGCTGTTAAAATGATTCCCTTGAAAGCCCATTATATTGTTTATGAGCGTACAAAAGCATTTTGATGAGAATTTTCCCGAAAATTTATATTTGGCTGAAAAACCACAACTAGCTAACGTTAGAGCACTCCAACATTTAAATGTGAATAAATATTTTGTCTCGTACCATCGCTCATTACTGTGATGCTGGTAGCATAGCACGACGTCAAGGAAGTGGACGGGAGAAAACAGCAACATCAGCAAAAATAGTTCGAAAAGTTAAGATGCGACTTGATCGAAACCCTCGTCGCAGTGGTCGAAAAATGGCTCGTGAGCTAAACATATCGCAATATTCCATTTGGCAAATATTGAAAAATGAGCTCGGGGTAAAGCCATTGAAATTCCAAAAAGTGCAAGAACTTACACCGCAATACAAAGCAAATAGACTCAAAAGAGCTAAAGAGTTGCTTCGCTTGGTTTAAAGTGGTGAACTGCCGAATTTGGGTTTCTCCGATAAGAAAACATTCGTTGTCCAGCAGTTTGTAAACAAACAAAAGGATCGTGTTAACTTGCCTTCCGTTGGCCATCAGAACTCAAGCGCCGGCCATGCAATAACAGCCGATGGTCGCTCTCCGCTCATAATCATCGACCGTGGCATCAGAACAAATGCCGAATATCATTGCGAAAATATTCTAGAGGGTGTATTAAAGCCTTAACCACGCAAACATATTCCCCACCCAAGAATGGTTACAAAATAAGGTTCCTCTCTTCATTTCCAGCGCACAATAGCCACCAAAATCTCCGGATACCAATCCGTTGGACTATTGTGTCTGGAGTATTTTGGAAAGCAGGGTTGGCACTAAAAATCCTAAAGAGTCGATCGCCTCAAGCAAGCGCTTCGCCGGAAATGGGCAACATTCGAGCGGCGTGTAACGGCTTTCATTTGCCATTTCAAGGCCATAAATCGTGTAAAAGGTGAACAATTCGAACAAATCTAACCTTATTCTCAAATTTGGTGCTATTTCCGACATTCTTTGCTTTCATTAAATAAAATTAAAAAAATAAAAATTATGGCTTTTAACTTGGTTGAGGTTTATTGCATTTCATCCCGTATATGTTTCATCCGATTTGGTGCTTAAGTCCCTCACATTTGTAATATGTACTCCAAAACAATTATCTTTGTTACCATAAATTTTATAGAGCCCACAAATATCTCTGCACAATTTTATCAAAATTGGATCAGACGAGTATATACCTCACATATGTCTTCATCCAGTTTTAGGTTTTTTTATGCACCAAATGGCTAATATAAATGAGACAAAATTGGGTTAGAATGGAAGGCTAAGCTAAAATTGCTCCACTCCGACGCCCTGTTATTTTTAAAGTGCCCTGTTTTTTTAAGTGAACTAAAATATAAATCTGTCAAGATGCCTACTGATCATTTTTTACCCATAAAATCCTTTCACAGTGTAATTCTGAGCCACTATATGTCATTCAAATTCACAGGGTTTTGTTTTTATACCCTCCACCATACACAGTATGGAGGGTATATTTAGTTCGTCATTCCGTTTGTAACTCATCGAAATAATCATTTTAGACCCAACAAAGTATATATATTCTTGATCAGCGTAAAATCCTAAGACGATGTAGCCCTGCCCGTCCCTCTGTCCGTCTGTTGTAGTCACACTACAGTCTAAAGGAATTAAGATAGGAAGCTAAAATTTTGCTCAGATCTCTCTTTTGTCTACAGGCAGGTTAAGTTCGAAGATGGGCTATATCGGTCCGCGATATCTTATATCCCCCATATAACTGTACCCCCGATATTCGGTATTTTGATGATTATAGCCACATTTTCTAATGGAATGGTCTGAAAATCCACACAAGGAGTTACTTGTGATTAATTCATCACTTGAAAGAGAATTATCTATATAGGCCCACCATATCTAATAGCCCCCTTAGCCACATTTTCAATTGAATTGTCTGAAATTCCACACAAGGAGTTCTTTGTGAGTACTTTACTCCCTGAAAGAGAGTTGTCTATATAGGGCCACGATATCGTTTATTCCCCATATAACGGTACCCTCTGATATTCGGCATTTTGATGATTTCAGCCACATTCTTCAACGGAATTGTCTGAAATTCCACACAAGGGGTTCTTTATGAGCACTTTACCCCCTGACATAGAGTTCTCTAAATAGGTTAACGATATCGTATATCCCCCATATAACGATACCCCCGATATTCGGGATTTTGATGATTTTAGCCACATTTCCCAATGAATTTTACCTGAAAATCCACGCAAGGAGGCCTTGTGAGAACTTTATTCCAGACATAGATTTATCTATGTAGGTCCACAATATCGTATATCACCCCATATAACGTCACCTTCCGATATTAGGTATTTTAAAGATTTTAACAGAATTTTCAATGGATTTTATTTTATTTTTTTTTTGAAAAGTTTCTAATTTGTTCCATACGGTAAAGGGTATTTAAAGTTCGGCCCGGCCGAACTTATTGCTTTTTTACTTGTTTAATTTCAAATTTAAATCATTTTATGGCATTTGGAGAGTGGCATTTGGGGAGTACGTTTTATTCACATTCTCAGCAGTATATTTTCAAAATCACAAACTTCTTTTCGACTCTCATACCCAAGTTCGTATAAATGTTGTCACTTGATAACATTATAATATTTTTAATACAAACAAAGATGTGGATATTCTTTTTTTTCGCTTCTCCCCTTTTCCTATCATTTTTCCAACTTGAACATTTCACTTTGGAATAGAAATATAGAATATGAACTAGGGTAAATTTTTTTCTTTTTCAAAGCATTACAGCAAAAATACCGCTCTAATCGCATACACTCTCACACACAGACACCCTTTCCCAATCACAACATGCATTGAATATGTGTCAATTGAAAGAAAATGTGTTGCCACTTTCCTCTCTATGTTCTTTAACACACTCGCCCTCCCTCCCCTTTCTACTTCAACAAAATTGAACAAAGTGATTCTTATCAATGCTGGCTTAAACTTAAGAAGTGAGGCAAAAAAAAAAAAAGTTTCAGAACAAAGAGAAAAAAACTGTTGAAAATGAATGTTGGAAAATCTCCCCCTATTTTCTAAAGGCTTTTCTTTTTTGATAGCATGAATGGGGCAATATCAACAAGAGTAGCCGTAGCTGTGGCAGCAACATATTGTAGCAGCAAACAATATGCCTTTCAATGTCTTTTTTTTTTTGGAAATTTTAAGCTTCAGCAGGAAAAGAGTGAAATTCCATGAAGGACAAAAAACCCAAATATTTTCTAGGAAAAATATCGAAAGTATTTTGAGAATTTCAAATGTATGCTGAATGGAAAAAAACACACACATACACATGTACAAATTTGTGCGTGTGGTGCCATAAGGAATGGGCTTATGGAATAAGTTGGCTGGCTTGTTTGCTTTTGCCACCACCACCATCATCTGTATTTTGGCTTCTAATATTCAACGTGGGACGGAGCACAACATATTCATTTGTATGTATGATGAGTACAAAATAGCAGCACACACTTTGTTTGAATTGATACTTACATAAATGACATAATCCTTGGGATTGTGAGCATTTGTACCGCACACATACAGCCTGTTGCCTTGCATTTTTTGTATGACACGAATGTGATTTTTGCAATCGAACACCTAGAAATAAAAAAGAGAAAAGAAATTGGGTAAAAGGGGTATTCTTCATTAATATGCGCATTGGGAAAGGAGACTATAAAAGTTAAGTAGTTTCGTTTTAGTAATGGGTGTAATTTAATAAAGGTAACAATAATATCAGGATTTAATCAATATGGTTAAAAAACAAAACAAGAAAGTAAAAGCTAAAGTCGCGTGAGGCCGATAATTTTATACCCACAACACTATAACTTGTTGTTAAGTCTCTGCAGATCTGAAACTCTTTTGAATAAAATGAATATTCAGCTGCGAAGCACTCACATACCTACTACATCGAATAATCATCATAAATCTAGAACCAATAGTTTATTTTTTACCTACGATCTCTACAAAATATAGGTATCTGACAAAGCAGATGCTTCTACTACATCAACAAAAAAAAAAAAAAAAAAAAAACCGAAAGTCCTAAAGTCGGCGGGGCCGATTTTATGATACCCTACACCACTTTGCTAATTCAGTTGAGCTCCACATAACAATTAAAGGTTTTTATGGGAGAATTCAATCATACACGCTATGAGTATAATTATAATTTAAAGTTCAAAGGACTAAATATGCCGAAGCATTTGTAAAAAAATAAATTCGGAGTTGCCCATTTGGTGCAAAATTATTTGAAATCAGATAAAGATATATATGGGAGCTATATCCAAATCTTAACCGATCTCGATAAAATTTGGCAGATATTTCGGAGCTGTATTTGATATATTTCCGAGAATATCGTTTTAACGGAGTGCATATTATGGCTGTAGGTAACAAATATAACAAATCGGATAAACAATATATATGGGAGCTATAGCCATACCTAAACCGATCTTCATCAAATTTGGCACACTACCTTCTAGACTCAATTCGGTCGTATGTGCCAAATTCCATCCCCTTTGGGCTAATATTTGCCCGTTTGGTGTACAATAAAAGGTAAATCGGACGAAGTTATATATGGGAGCTATATCCAAATCAGAACCGATCTCGATAAAATTTAGCAAAGGTTTTTCTGAGCTGCATTTGATATATTTCCCCAAATATTGTTCTTACAGAGTGCATATTACGGCTGCGGAGGACAAAAATAACAAATCGGATAAACAATATACATGGGAGCTAGAGCTATATCTGAACCGATTTCGATCAAATTTGGCATACTAATTTTAAGGCCTAATTTGGTTGTATTTGCAAAATTCCATACTATTCGGGCTGATATTAGACGTTTAGTGCACAATAAAAGGCAAATCGGACGAAGATATATATGGAAGCTATATCTAAATTTTTACTTATTATCTCCAATTTCAATAGAGTTCGTCTTTGGGCCAAACAAATGTTGTTTGGAAAATTTCATCTCAATCGGATAATAAATGCCACCTGCAATTTGTTCACTGACATGCATAAATCAACTCAGAAAGTGATTCTATGAAGATCGTCAAAAAGAACTATGAGACACCGAATATAACCGTGATATTGGGGTCTGTACGACGTGAACCTACATAGGCATCGATTGTCATAAGCCAAATGCCAAATTTGAAACAATTCCTGTGAATAATGTCGCTTAAATCATCAAAATACCGAATATAGGGAGGTACCGTTATATTTGGGGCTATACGAAGACGTGAACCTGCGTTATAGCGTGATTACATCAGACAGACACACAGACGGACAGACGGAGAGACAGACACACAGACGGACATGGCTAAATCGTCTTAGAATTTAACGCTGATCAAGAATATATATACTTTGTTTGGTCTGACATGTGTATTTCGAGGATTTACAAACGGAATGACAAAATGAATATACCCTCCATAGTGTGGTGGAGGGTATAAAAAGTATTATGGAATGTACAATTGTAAGTCAAATTGAGTGTTTTTGTTAATCAAAATTTTGACGCTTAGTATAGGCGAAGTACCGAAAGGACCGGTATCTACAATATTCACAACAGATCTTAACCCAGTATAAAGGAGTTTACCAATGTTCCAATAATATTACGGCATTCGATGTTTGGACCTTCGAGAGTTATCGTGTGCACCAGCCAGCCTGCCGGACAATCGAACGGACACCCCTTAATCGACTCCAAATATCCTGAAATTGAGTTGGTCTAAAGAGACTTAAAACAGTTATTTCGATTAGGAACGTTTTGGACATTTCAAATGACATATGCCCCCGTGTAGGCGTATGGCTCCTTGTGGGAAAGGTACTAGCAAGGAATTTACAATATCGTTTATTTTCACAGTTGACCTATTTTTTTATTTTTATGGAGGAGTTCTGTGCATAGCCATAATGTTACAAAATACATCCCAAACATCCCACTGGAAGACAGCTACCTCATCTAAAAAAAGACCGTTCAAGAAAACAGTGAATAATAACCTAAAGGCTTTGTGTGTTCAAATAACAAAATAGTACGATAAAAACCGCAAGTTGGCAAACTTTCATTCCAACAAAGTTTATTGTGGGATCTGCTTTCATGGAAAGGAGTCTTAACCTTGTAAAATTACATGGGCCTGCGGAAATATCGATAAGACATATCCCGAATTTAGTTACAAAACATAGAGTGCAATGAATATCTGTACAGTTATGCGGAAACCGTGGACCAATATAGACAACGTTTTGACAACGGTCGTAAAACCCATTATGAACTACAAATACCGAATTTTAAACAAATTAGAAAGAAAGTGGCATAAATCGTAAAAATACCGAATATCGGGAGTGGCAGTCATATGGGCGCCACCACCATATGTGGTAAACATAACCAATTTCTTACACCATGTTTGGAACAATTCCGTAAAAAAATGTGGTCAAAAAAATTAGGCGGCTATTTGGAAACGCGGACCTACGCTTTAAGATTTCAAAATATAATATTATAAGGTCATTAATAAAATCAACATTGCCGGTACTCGAGGTAAGAAATTGAGATTAAAACAAGAACCGATTCTGAACAAGGAAAAATTCCGGTTTCCATGTGAGGCCGCTATGTGAGGGCTACACCAAATCATGAGACCTCTGAGACTTTTAAAATACTATAAATTTAGAGGTACAGCCATGTAGACATAGACTGCAGTACTTTGATTTTCAAATTTGGTACTTGAAGTTCGTAATGAATACTACAGCCTAAGGCAGAAAATTGTCTATGCAGGTCTTCGTATAGGCCTCATATAACTGTACCTCCCAACATTCGGTATTTTGATGATTTTAGCGTCATTGTTCACCGTAGTAGTTTCAAATTATGTATTTAGAGTTCATAATAGAAACTACAGTTCGTGACAGAAAATAGTCTATGCAGGTCCAGGCCTTCGTATAGGCCCCATATATCAGTACCTCCCTATATTCGGTATTTTGACGATTTTAGGTACAATACTTACCGAAATTGTTTGAGATGTCGTATTAGAAGTTGGTAATGGAAGCTACAGCCTGCGACAGAAAATTGTTTATGCAGGTGCAGGTCTTCGTATATCTCCGATATAACGGTACCTCCCTATGTACGGTATGTTGATGATTTTAGCTACTTAATATTCACCGTTTATTTCACGTTTCGAATTTGAATATGGTAATGGGTTCTGACAAACAATGCCTATGTAGGAGCAGTCGTACAGACCATAATATTTCGAATATAATCGTTTTTTTTAAGATGTTAACAGAATTTTGGCGAATGTTATCTTTTTCGAAAATTTCCAAATTCGTTCTAAATGGTGGAGGGTATTCAAAGCTCGGCCCGGCCGAACTTACTGCTTCTTTACTTGTTGTTTTTTTTTTTTACACGAGAACATGCTACAGACTAAGAACCCATAAAGAGAACTCTGCAAAATACAAGAAATCAAGAGGAAGCATAATATGGGACCTAGACGTGAATCGATATTACAAACTCTTGTGCAAAATTTAAAGTTCTAAATAAAACAGTTTGGCCTCCGGGATGATAATGCAGGTAGACAGGAGGACAACGTTAAATCCACTTTTAAATTTTATGAATCTACTTAGAATGTTATTATTTCCTCCGTCTAATAGTGTTGTAATTATTGACATAATTTTAAAATCACATTCCGTCTTAAAATGACCTTGAGTATCAACAAAAAGATACGATTACCCCCTCATAACATTGCACAAATACTACCGAAAATGTGCTCAACAGTCCCACACAATTACCAAAAATTTGTCAGCATTTTCATTGCAAAATTCCTTCAAAATATTGCTGACATCTAGTTGCAACTGACCACTGGACTTTTATCATCAATTTAAACCAATTTTCCGCACAACTAGAAATTCTCGGTTTCTTTCTTTTACAATAGTTTGTCGCTTTATTCATTTTTATTTGCTTCCCCCTCACCTTTCCTCCACACAAAGTTTTTTATTTGAAATAAATCTCTAGATCTAATGGAAAATCTTGTTGGGTAAAACTCTTATTACAAATCAAATTTATAGCATTTCAATGCTGATGTTTTCTATAAAGTGTGCATGTGCATGTGTGCGATGTTGTGTGTGTCAGTTTGTCAGTATTTCAATTGCATGTGTTTAGCGTGAGCGTATATTTTTGTCCTGATTCACTTCTATTTTTTTCCAATCTCTTTTTCTTCCTTCATTGAAAGAATTTAACTCTTAAATCGCTTCTCTCATCCAACCAGCCAGGCAGCTAGCATTCGATTGAAATAGGAAATCCAATATACATTTCGATCTTAAGTAGAAATAAGATATGAAAGATTTTTTTCTGTCTTCGATGGAAGTGTGTTCTACTTGAGACACGCACATCTAAAAATGTATGTGTTTGTAATATTATGAGAGAAATGGATTTAGTTTGAATAGAAAAACGAAAAACAAACTGGTTATTTAAGTGTACTTAGACAGTGGCCTAAATTTAGATATGAACAGTCGTCTGAGATATGTTGAGTCTAAGACAAAAATTATGGAATATAAATATTTCACATGATAGGTACGTAAAGCAGAATTTTAAACGATTTTTACTTATGAAAAAATTCCAAATGTATTTGAAATTATAT